GTTTTCCACTTAGTGTGAAAGATCAAAGAGTGTTTTTTTGTTATAGGCTAACTTGCAGTGCACTTTTCAACAGGATTTCATGGTCTTTCATACAATCAGGCAGCCAGAAGCAAGTATTGATCAAGGTATGATTTCCATTCTTACGTTTATGTCCTGGTTTATGGTTAAACTTCTGATGTCTTCTGAAAACTGGGCGGGTTTTTCAGGTCTTTAAGAATATATGATTACGTTCAAGATGCAAAATTTTTCAGTGTCAAGAGAGGAGAAGTTAACAAACTAACGGATTAAAAAAACTCGATCGGGTCAGTATAAAACTGGTTAAATTGTATTACACTGACGCTTTATATAAATAGAATCATGTGTTTAATTGTAACGTCGTTCGAGAGTCATTCCATCTGACATAAGCGCATCGGTTCAATTGTCCTCAAGAGTTCAGTGATAGATATAAACCACGAAAACCAAGTGAGGATAAAGCTCTTTTGATATAAACTGCTTAAATTCTTAAGATGAAACTGACACAGAGAAAGAAGGTAATGGAAGCAGTCTAACCATTGCAGCGCTCCTTAAATCGAGTGATTTCCAGGTTCAGCACCAATTATATGAAAGTTGTATATAAAAACCGCTTCTCATTTTTCCTGATATAAGAATTATTGTAAACTTTCACAGAAAGTTTGAAGTATCGAGGACGGGAGTTCAAGGACCTCTTGCATAAATTGTCAACAGAGAGCTTTCTGAACAGATTTTTTGCAAAAATGCACAAGATTCTGCGCACGCCGCTCAAATAAGTAATTTTTCGGGTTAACCGAGCGGGCACTGGGGCTATTCGAAGTGAAGATTTCCGATTCAGGCTTCAAAAGTGTTTTGTTTCAGTCTGTTTGTCAGGTAAGTTTCCCTCCCTGATTTACATGTAAGTTGTGAAGAAAAGTAACGTAAAAGATGTTCAGGTCTTTATCCCTTTGGTTAACATTTACAGTTTGTCTAGCTAACAATATAGCTGATTATATAAGGAACTTTCTTCCAGATCGTGTGCACAGGAATGTGATCGTGATGTCCACTCAGTGAAATCAACATCGGTCATCTGGGAAAAGTAAGCTTAATCTTACTAAGATGACTTTTATTAATAGGCATTTTCTTGTAAAAGAAAAGGTTGTTGCTGGTGGAAAAATTTTTCTCTTTGTTTGATGCTCACAAGACAAGTTTTATCACTACTCTAATTTAGGCACTGCTGTGTGCCGCCAAATTATGTTCGCAAAGACCATTTGATATCTCTTTCAGTCAAATGGTGAAATCGTAGTGAAATGTAAGTAGAAAAAAAAAAGGCAAGAGGAGATGAACTAACTGCAGGGATCACTTGTGTTATTTGAGTTTGAATCAAAAATATTAAAATCACCCGTTACGTAAAAAGGTGTTAAGTGCATGATATTTTTTTCAGTTTTGTAGACCAGCTACCAAGATACTGAAGATGTCACCACCTGATAATACAAGATTAAAGTTGTGCTCCTGAAAGTAAGATTATATTCTCTGTGACCTCTGCTATAAGTTTGTTGATGTAGATATGATTTATCTCTGAACCAAATAATTATTTTGGACAGTTGCCCCTTGGGGCAGGGGGGGGGGGGTACTCCCTATAATGGCCTATAGGAGGAGGTTGTGGTCAATACCCTATAGGCGCGTGAGCTACCCCATAGCACGCTGCAGTTGTCAAAATGTGATTGGCGGTCGTAATAGACAGCATGTAAGGCAGCAGGGGGCAAACAATGATTGATGGTTAGCAGACGCAATTTTCTTTAATATAGTGTACTACAGTGTCAACATGGTTTTTGCATTTTAGATTTTCATCAATAAGCATGCCAAGAGAATGAGAATGTTTGATCAGAACATTATTTATATTTAAGGAGGGCAGAGATTAGGTAGATTATTAAGCTTCTGCCTTGAGCCGTTTAACATGAATTCAGTTTTAGTCATATGTAACATCAATAAATTATTTTTTTGTGATAAGCCAGTGATTAATGTTGAGCAAGTCTTCATTCAGGGAAGACTGAATGGAGTGGATATTGCCAGTGGAGTGAGTTAGACGGGTATCATCAATATAAATTCTTTGTTTAAAATGAAACAGACAATTGGGCAAATCATTGATATATAGCAAAAACAGTAGAGGCCCTAGTGTTGTTCCTTGGGGAATACCACACATAACAGTGCAACATTCTGAAAGGGAATCATTGACAAGACGTTTCTGAGTATGATTATCCAAATAGGAGGAAAAACATTTATGGGTAACATGACCATGATACACTATAAAGACGTAGTTAGACAGTAGGATATCATGACTGACTGTGTCAAACACTTTCTTAAGGTCAAGAAAAGCAACAGTGTTAACGTTACCTATATCAATATTACAGGCCTCTAATAATTAGGCTCTAACCATTGAATGGAGTGCTTATGGAATCCGAATTTTGGTGCTTAGACAAAATACTATGATCCAATAAATGGCAAAGAGTTGATGATAGATAATTCTTTCAAATACTTTGCCAAATTATGATAGAGATAACTGATATTGCACGATAATTGTCTATGTTGCCTCTTTTGCCGCTTACTTGAATAGAGAAGTAACCCTTGCAGACTTCCAATCGTCAGGAAATATACCATTAGCTAAAGAACTATAAAATGTAATTGAAATAATATGAGGTGCAATTAAATCAGCACAATCTGTAATAAGCTGACTAGATACCTTAAGATTTATGCAGTTTTTTAAAAAGAGACAACACCTGATTACTATCAGTGGGGATGAATCTGGAATCTTTCACTTTAAAGGCCAGAGACATTTAAATTCCTGAAAACTGGCCATTCCAGGGACCATTGTCTAAAGGTATTTCGGAAGCCAGTTTTGGGCCAATTGTAGAGAAGTGATCATCAAAAGTGTTTGACAAAGCGGTTGAATTAGTCATAGAAACTCCATTCGGACTTAATTCCTTAACAGAAGACATGCCGGATTTATGAGAAGTATTAGCTCATTGATGACCTGCCACACTTTATGCGGGTCGCCATCAGTTTCACTTAATTTGTTTTTATAAAAAAATTTGTTAGCCTGTTTGATTTTTAGCATTGAGTTTAAATTGTTATGCATTCTTTTAAAGCAGTCCCAATTGTGCGGATCATTGGACCTAATTGCTTAAAGTGCCTTGTCAGCAGTTAAAAAGGGATCATGCAAAGTTCTAAACTAGGTATGTGAAAAGGGGTACCATATTTTGTCAGGAGGCAGCGTGGCCAAATGGTCAGCGCTTCGGACTTGCAATCTGGTGGTCCTGGGTTCGACTCCTGCTCTGGCCACTTGCTGGATTTGTTCTCGGTAGTTCCGAGTTGAAATCCTCGGTTACGCTTGTAAATAGCCAACTGGTTGCCTCCTGCCAGTTGGGGTTTTAAATCCTGTTATGTTGTATTTGAATTATTTGTTTTCTAAGTATTTACGGATTGAAAAGCGCTTTGGATCACAGAGAGAAAGGCACTATATATGTGTATATTATTATTATTATTATTATTATTAATAAGGTATATGAAAGAGCTGGATTTAAAAAAAAAAAAAAAAAAAATTTATAAACCCTCCAAAAAAAAGGCACTATATATGTGTATATTATTATTATTATTATTATTATTAATAAGGTATATGAAAGAGCTGGATTTAAAAAAAAAAAAAAAAAAACTTTATAAGCCCTCCAAAATCGTAATGCAAAAAACCCTCCGTTAAATTGCCCCTCCGAATATAAGCCCCCCGGGGGCTTGTACGTAGAATTTGCCCTGAGTACAAAGTAAAACAAAGCAAAAATGGTAAATTTCATTTCCACTACAAGCTAGCCCAGCCGATTTTATAACACAAATTTCCCTCTGTGCACAAGCCCTTCCGAATGTAGGCCCCTCCAAAAATAAGCCCCTCAAAAAGGGTGCTTGAAAAATGTAAGCCCCAGGGCTTATTTTTGGAATTTTACAGTATTTCAAAGGGTAAGGGGCTGGACCTCGGGGCGGAGCCTCCCTGTATATAGAACTTTGTTGAGCACCCCCTCCCCTGGGGGCAGTGCATGGTGTTGTTTGGCTTCAAAATAGGATTATATCTCATATTTTGATGTCATCTTTACCATCTTTTTATTATTTTCAGGATTTTATGTCATTTGAATTAAACATTAGTTGAATGGTGTGAAGCTATCAAATTTAGGAGAAGGTAATTTAGCTGAGTTTATTAAATTGATTGCAGTAAAATGGCAAAGGGTGTTAACATTGTAAGCTTTAAAGCTTTCTTGCATCACTAGAGTATTAATTACCATTACCTCACATTTGATTTAGATGCACTCATTGATATACTATTGATTACAGTACACAGTCAGTAGAATATTGGTACAGTGGCCAGAAACTGTTAACTTTCCAAACATTTCTATTGCCTTGATCACTATTTGTTTGAACGTCATGGTACAGTCAAACCTTTGCTAGTAATAATTATTGGCCTCTCCTCTAAACATAGAGACTTAGTCATGGCCCCAGTTGTTAATATTAAAGAGTGTATTTTTGGTCGGGAATCTCTCATAAATTGCTTGGTCACTGCAGACACTTACAAACACTGCATATTGACCTTTGTGAAATGGACCCCTTTCCATAGCAAGAACTAGTTGTGGACCCAGGAAGTTACAAACACTGTTTGCATATTTTGACCTTTGTGAAGTGGATGGACACCTCTTCTAAAAGTAGACACTAACTGGTCATGGACTACAAACTCTGCATTTGACCTTTGTCACTAAAAGAGGCAAACATCTCGATCTTATAATTACCTGTAGGTCGACACATCTCCTGGTCACTGTACAGACTGGTGTCCACTAATATAATAAGAGGTTTGAACCTTAAAATAAAGCTGTGACATAAAGGTAATTTGTTAATAAAAAAAGTTGTTGGATTGTAATGTGGTGATCTTATTAAATTAAATTTACACTCTTTATAGGGACATCTTTGACTTAGACTCAATGGCGCAGCATCAACACCTTAAAAGAAAAGGAGGTGCTGATCCTGATCATCAGATGTCAAGAAATCATGCCCCTCCTCCTCTAAGTATTGAAGTGCCTAAAATGAGAGATCTTCCAGACAAGTCAAACCCTTGGAGTGATGTCCAGCTTCCTGTTGACATTCTTTTGTTGACAGTAGAAGACTGCGAGTTTTTAGCCTGTTATGCTTTCTTGAAAAATTCTTTTAAAAGTTATGACCAGAATCTGGGATTCGTGTACTTTGGGGCCATGGGTGAAACTGGAGAAGAGGCACTGAAAGTTGCTTTAATGAAATGTTATAAAGGTTCTTCTGGTCCAGGTGGCTCTCAAAATGTTATTAAAAATGCCGTGATGCAACTGAGACCCAAGGCTTCTTTTTTGGTTGGCAGCTGCCAGGGTATAGACCCAGAACACACCAAACGAGGAGATGTAGTGGTATCCTCTAAACTTTCAACTGAACAATTCACAACTCCAGTAAGAAGAAATATTGGCAACCTTATCTTGTTTTCAGCTGGAGGCTGGATTCCACCATTAAAAGATCCAGTAGGTGAAGAAACAGTACAGGTACACCGTGACAGTGACATATTCAGTGGTAGACAATTTATCACCAAACAACGCCGTATGTCTCAATCTCGTGTGATTGCAGTTGAAACAGAAGGGGAAGGTAAGATTATATACATATTTAACTATTACAACAATTTGATGTAGCATTCAATTTGAGGTCTAGAGTAAAACTCGAAATAAATTGTCCTTTTTGACAACTGAGCTTATATGACCATGGGAAATCACAGTACTTTACTGGTTTGTTGACCACAATTGGCAATGTTGTCAGTGATCAATTATAGGGTGCAAACAAGTCTCTTATGGTATTCATAATTCATACGTCAACCAATATGTGTTTACATTAAAATATTTTGGAGAAGTAGTTCACAAGTTAAATATTTTGCAAGGGAACATAAATTAAGCTTATTAAAACACAGTAAAATTTAGTCATTACACTGTAGAGAAAAATTTACAGCTTTGCTAGATTCTTTCATGTTCACACAGGACTGGACAAAGCTTTTAAGTAAGAGCCAAGGCTGCAAAGAATCACCTTTTATTGATCTGTTTTTCTTACCACTTACAGGACTGTTTGCTGCAGCTCAAGATATGAACATTGAATGGGTGATTGTTAAAGGGATATCGCATTTTTCTGATGATAGCAACACCCCTGATGAGCCCTGGAAGTCATTTGCTTCCATCATGGCAGCTTCTGTTGTGTCCAACATGTTAAATGATCCAGTTGTTTTTAAAGAATGGCCTCACTATCAAGGTATGCAACATCCCTGTTCTAATGAGTGATAATAAATAAATTATTAATAGTGATGAATTTTCTGTTCAGATAATTAATTATTTTTATGTTGGCTGGTTCAATTAATTATCCTTGAAAAAACAATTGTCAAATGACAGCCTGCAAATATCAGTAGATGGAGTGACTTTTCTCCGAAAGCATACTGTATAAGTTTTGTTGAGTTCGTTAAATAATGACTAAACACCTCCTATCTATTAAATGCCCCCAATGTTTCAAGTTCTTTTTTCTGTTTGAGACTGGCTGAAATACATACATTAATATTAAAATACCAATAACAAAGGCCAAAAGTAAAATTTGTTTTGAGGGGTTTTCAAATTTATAACACTTTTTTTCTTCACAGACTTGACAGCAAAGAATCAGCAAGAGACAACCACAAAGCCAGCCAAACAGATGCCAGGTACTATTCCATCAATTTTTTACACTACTACAAATCCAGGAGTTTTTCCAGGTTAATGATTGAACACTGGTTTCACTAATATAAACATTAATCTTTTAAAGTTGTTTGTCACATCTGTCAGCCCTCTTGCACTTTTTTTTTCACAAAATAATAATATTGAAATAAGACAGGTCTTTGCCAAAGAGAGCAGTCCCTTTTTGTCTGATATTTATTCCCTTCCCCCACTAAAATTTGGTGACAAAGCCGTTTGAAGCCAGTCAGGCCGCTTTCTGGTCAGATCTAGCCAAAAAGAACCAAAACTGCCCAAAATACTGTATTTCCTCAAATTATAATAGCCGGGGCGATTATTTCTTTTTTCGCCTCATTAAGGAAGCAATCATTTGAGGGAGGCGATCATTTCAAATATTGCTCACTGGAAGTCGTACCCTAAATATTTTGTTTTATTATCCCATTAAATCAAAAAATTATCTCATCAAATAAACTGAATATGGGCTTTTTAAGTGTTCCAAATTTGGTTCCTTGATTGTAATTTTCAGAGCTTAAATCGTCACTGATCAGTTTTGCTGGATCAGATTCCACTTCAACTTGACAGGAAGGGGATAAAAGAAGTGAAGATGGCATGAGGGGAGGGGAGGGGGGTGATTATTCGAGGGAGGTGATTATTTTAAATATTTCCATCAAAGAGGGGCGATTATTCTAGCCGGGAGGCGATTACTCGAGGGACGGCTACTATTCAAGGAAATACGGTACTTTAAATTGAACACCACGCTGCCTTTGGTTCCTTATGCTAATTAATGTCAGTTTTGTTTTGAAAAGTGACGCAAACCACTCAACTTTTCCCTTTTCGCTTCCTTGCCCCAATTGTTTTCCCTTAATGTTGGACATAAATATTACTAAGGCTTCATTTTGGTGAGACAGACATTGTTTTAAGTGAAACAAGATTCCCTTATCTTCTCGAAAACCTTCTCGACTTTGTTTCAGTTGTCTTTGAGTTATGTGTAAAGGCCTCTATTAATTTAGGAATTGCCCAGTTTAATTGAANGAGACAGACATTGTTTTAAGTGAAACAAGATTCCCTTATCTTCTCGAAAACCTTCTCGACTTTGTTTCAGTTGTCTTTGAGTTATGTGTAAAGGCCTCTATTAATTTAGGAATTGCCCAGTTTAATTGAAATTAAAGTGATGTTGCGGAAGGGGGTCCACTCCCAAACTTTCCGCTGGTGTAGTATATTCTATTGTCTTCCACCAAACACCACTAAAAAGATTATAAAAGGAAAGATCAGTAAGACTTGCTTGCTGACTTAAATCCACTGCATGGACAATATCAAATGATCACTGGGTCATTCCTGGTGCTGTTTCCTTTCATTAATTTCTATTATTTTATTCATGATATTTGTGCAAATTGACTCAGTCCACCCCTCTTGTAAAAAAATATATAGTTATTAAAAAATTCTTATTGGAAATGATAAAATATTCTTGATAATAGATTCTGTATGCCTTGGGGAGTGCCAGAAACAGCTGCGATCACTTTATGAAACCAGTAGTAGTAAAGTCAGAATCATTCCATGGGACCAGAACTCTGCTGTGGATATTGATGAGATCTACACAGACTTGTCTTGGGTCAAGGATCACAGGACACCCAGGGGAGTGATACGAGAAAAGCTTGACCACTACACTAAGATTTTTGCTGACAGAGAACCTCGTCGTGCACCCAAGCGAATTTTGGTTTATGGACAACCAGGTAAGTGAGTGAATGAAGTAAAAAAAATTAATTGTCTTAATTTAACTCACAGGAGGATAAAATATAAGTACAAGCAAAAATCACATACGATAACAGTAACACAGAAACCATAATTAATCAACACAAGGTGTTAGCAAATGCAATGTGTCAGTAAGTGATGTGATGCAGGTTTCTTGAGTGTTTTGCTGGCATGTACATTCCAAGTGGGGTAATTTTTTACCATGCTGTCAAACCCAATGGAAAGTTTGGTCTGTGGCTGTTAAAAATAAATTAAAAGTTTAAACAAAGTTTTTCTGTTAATCATTCTGATAATAAACAATATTTAATTGGCCTTAGAGCTTTCAGTATTTGTGACTCAATTTTATCTAAAATTCACCTTCTTTAAATGTATGGTAAAGGGTAAAACTAAAATAAAAAGTATTCCAAGGATAAAATTGCACCACAGCCTTTACAATAGACTATAATCACTGGCAGTTTGGCCCAGTTGTTTGAAGGCTGAATTGCATGCACCATAGTCTCTCCAACGCAGTGTCTGGAAATGGTCCTGTCCCTGGCGAATATGATATTGCGCGGAAATAGAAAAGAGAAAGTTGAAGAGACTATGCGTGCACTAACTTGGGCCCAGTTGCTCGAAGGCCGATTAGCGCTTAACCCGGGTTTCTTTTTCTGTGTTCAAAAGCATTTTCTCGGATAATTTTCTCTGTTATTTTTGAGCTTCCAATCATCAACTTGTGGACAAAAAGAATTAAAACTGAAATGCTTTTTAAGCTTTCACATCTGAATCCAAATCTAGATAACGTCTTTAAACCCAGCTTTGAACAACTCGGCCTAAGAGTTAAATTTTAACCCAAGTTTGTATTTCTTTTTATCAAAAGCAGTTTCTTGGATAATTTTCTGTATTCTTTTTAGAGTATCTAATCATCATATTGTAGACAAAAAGAATTAAACTGAATTTGCTTTTGAAGCTTCTGAATTTAAATGTCGCACTAACCCTGGGTTATCCTAACCCAACTTTGAACAACCCGCCCCTAAATAGTCTGGGCAGGAATGATTCAGTTCCATTGTCTTTATCATGAATAATTTTTAATATGTAAATGAGATACCGTAAAATTCCGAAAATAAGCCCCTCCAAATATAAGCCCCCCAAACCGGTAACCCAAAAAACCCTCCGTTAAATCGCCCCTCCAAATATAAGCCCCCCGGGGGCTTGTACTTGGAAAATTGCCCCCAAATACAAAGTAAAACAAAGCAAAAACGGTAAATTTACTTCCAACTATAAAGCTTAAGCCCTATCGATTTTGAAACGCAAATTTCCCTCCGTAGATAAGCCCCTCCGAATATAAGCCCCTCCAAAAATAAGCCCCTCAAAAAGGGCCTTTGAAAAATATAAGCCCCGGGGCTTATTTTCGGAATTTTACGGTACCGTTATCGATGAATGTAACTTTCATCTTTAATCAAAGCTATAACAATTCCAAAATCCCCCATTGGACACAGGGAAAACTTATTTTCGGCATAACTTTAGAGGCAAAGGCCACCCATATGTTGTTCACTCTGCTTAAACTTAAAAAAAAGTTTAAACATAATTCCGGAAAAAAAAAAAAAAAAATAGTAATATAATAAATAATTTCAAAGTTTTATGAAAATTATAAAATCACATTTCAATATTTTAGATTTCACGTCACATGACTTCACGTGGTAAAAGTAAAACAAATCTGTTGAAGACGTATTGACAGTTTGTTCATATTGTCACATAGGTATCGGCAAGACTGTTTTCACGAAGAAAGCAACTTTTGATTGGTCCCAGCAGAGGTATTCAAAAACATTAGGAGAATTTGATCTTGTCCTTCTGGTGAGATTACGTGACGTTAGTAATCTCCAAGATGTTCCGTCCATTCTGGGGGCTTCTGAAGTGCTGGATAGTGATGGTGCAATTTCCGTAGACAACCTGTATGATTACGTTCGTCGCCACCAAGAAAAAGTCTTGCTTATCTTGGACGGCTACGATGAGTATGTTTACAGTTCAAGAAACGAGTCGCCTATCTTCAAAATCTGGAAAAAAAGCAAATTAAGAGATTGTTGTGTTGTAATTACTTCACGCGAAATGAAAGCTGAGACGTTGAAAAGTTTTAGTGATGTTCAAATCAAAATTGACGGCTTCAATCGTCAACGTCAAAAAGAGTTCGCTCGTAGATTTTTGAAAGATGTTAGAGACTTTTTCAAATACTTGGACGAGCACGACCTAACCGAAGTAGCACAAATTCCTCTATTGCTGCTAATGTTGTGCTTACTCTGGACAAAAACAAAACGCGAAGAACTACCAAAGGAACGCGCAGACATATTCGACCAGTTTGTCAAGACTTTGTTTGATCACTTGCGTGAAAAACAGTCTGCTGAATCAGTGGTTGTTAAAGATTACTCAGCTGAATTATACGCATTAGGACGCTTGGCCTTTGAAGCCCTTTTGCAAGGCCAGCTTTATTTCCCTGTTAGTCAGTTACCTAGCTACAGTTTGATTGAGAGGCTGATTGAAGTCGGCCTTTTTCAGGTTTTAAATATGGCGAGTTTGAATACTGAAAAAGGCGTGTACTTTATTCACAAATCCGTACAAGAATACCTGGCTGGGAATTTCCTGAAAAAAGAGCTGACATATAAAAAGGCTGAAAGTACAAATTCCCTCTTGAAGTTGGACTCAGTTGAAAAGATCCGAGAGACGATTGAGGTTTTAAAATTTGCTGCTCAGTTGTCAGAAGAAGCCGCGCGCGAGATTGTGATTCACCTTGGAATGAAGAGCGGACTAAAAGAGTTCAAATTCGACAACGAAACACCGTCACAGGAGGAATTGTCAGAAGAACAAACAGATTTTATTGATCTTTGTAATAAGGTCTTTTTCAACTTCTCAGCTGAGACAAGAAAAAACCTCTTTCCTACATTTCTTTCCTCTTTAGGAGGAGTTCTTGTAATTGATAAAAAGCAGCTAAATGTTATCGTAAAAGAAAAATTAGTTCAAACTACCGTAAAAACACCCAACTACATTTTTTTTAATGAATCCTATTGGTATACAGAGCAGGACTATAGTAATTTAATAATTTTATTACAACAATTAAACGCAGTTATTGTTAGCTCTGTAGGAGAAAAGAAAGCATCAGAATTTTTAAGCAATTTAACATGGCGTAGGATTGATGATTTTTTTTTAAAGAAAGAAGAAAACAACACTCACCTCTATTTAGCTGAAATTTTTAAAGATGCATTCGAAGATATTCCTTTTCCTTTTGACGTAATTAAGGCACTAATAAGTAAACAAGAGACAACAAAGAAGACAAACATGAATGGTGATGAGTCAAGTGAAGAGAGCAGCAACAGCTGTTGTTCAAAGCGTCATGGACTCTCCAGAGTTCGAGGGATTAAAGTTTATCGGGTGAACAGGTCAGATGTGGAACTGCTGAGTGGGATGATGCCGTTTATCACCGCTCCACAGTGGATAAGGGTTGTGGGTAAAGACGGTGAAGTGTACGATGCTGAGTTAATAGAGTCTCTAATGAGGAGCATCCCAACAACACACAATCTGAAGATCTTAATACTCCGAGTTATCAGCGTAACATCATCACCTGCTGTGGAGTTCATCGACAGAATCTTCAGACAAGCTCCAAACTTGGAGGAGCTCGACATGTCATGGAATCCTCTTCCAGGTGCAGGAGTAGACAGCATCATTAAACATCTCAGCTGCGCTCCTCACCTGAAGTATCTGGGGCTTTACGGTGTGATGATGACTCCACAGCAGGTGAAGGATCTCGCATCAGCTGCACAGCGGCCGGGCAACATCACTAAACTGCGGTCAAACTACCACGTAAGTTTTCCAATTTTATCGCAATTTGTTTCGTTATTCTTTCTTTACAGTTTATTTCTACTCAGCCCTTGCCTTTCGCCATTTTCCTTTCTTTGTCATTTTTATACTCGACAAAACACGACATTTCCTTTTGAAAACAAATCACAAACTTTAGCAGATTCAAAGTATCATTTCAAATTCATTCCTTTCAATTGATTAAACTAAATCCAAAAAAATGTTTTAACCGAGTGCACTGTGCAAAATAATGGATCAGCGAGCAGATATGAAATTTCTGTTCGAGCCTGGTTCAACTCGATATGAGCCCACTTAACAAACTTAACAATACTTTTTGTAAAATTAACAGTTAATGAATGAGGCTGAGTATCTTATGAAGAATTATGGAGATGGAGGAAGGTGTTATCCGTCGAGACCGTAGCAGGCTCTCCGGCGCTCTGGCGTCGGGGCGGGAAAAGGAAGGAGAGCTTGCAACTATGTCTCTGGAATTTGAATATCTGCATCGAAAAAGTCGATGCGAAATGCTGATTGGCGGAGATGACCTTAGTAATGACGTCATTACCCCGCACGTATTTTTAATGTTTGTTTACATTTGCGCTCCTTTTCACTTCGCGCTGATTGGCGGAAATCCGACAGCTGAGTCGAAAGGGAGTCACAGGGGAATTGGAGGTGAATTCAAACTCCAGAGACGTAGTTGCAAGCTCTCCTTCCTTTTCCCGCCCGACCGTCAGAGCGTCCCGAAGAGCTTGCTCGCAGGCTAAAAGAGGCTGTTCATATTTTGTAATTAACGAAGGACATCAAGGGCATGAAAACCATTACATTCTCTCTTTAAAACCTCCCTTTTCTCTATGAAGGGCTTCTTTCTGTTTGAAATGCCATGTTTAACATCACCTTATTGTAATGATTATGAGTGGTAAGTGAGTGTTGTGTTTTTTTGTCAGGCTGATTCCTTATCTGAATTTGAAGATGCATCTGAGACTGATCATGAGGAAGAGTGGGTGAGTAATCGACTCTAAAACACAATGTTCAGCCGAGTGTTTTTCACGAATTTTTAACAGTTGATGGGTTGGGTTTGTTAGTATTTACTTGATTGTTTGTTTGTTTGTTTTTTTACTTTTTCTCGGCCATGTTTTATCAGATTTAAAAACTTGTCTTAAATTTTAATTTAATTTGAATTTTCTTAATAAAGTGTTGTTGATGTTTTTTTAAGTTTTATGGTATGACTTTAAACGTTACTCTTCCTGATATCGAAGATTTTTGATACAGATTCACTTTTTTATCAACAAGACTTGCGTCAATTATTTGGTTCCTTTATCAGGGAAAATAGTGACACTGTTAGAAGATTAGATTTACTATGGCATTTTCAATTCTTATTGACTTGAATCAGGGACTAAAACTCTCGTTGTGTACATGAAGACTGAAATAACGATCCTAAAAGATAATAAATGGATGGTGTATAGTGTTAAGTGTGTGATTTGTAGCAGGAACGGGAAGGAATCATGCAGTCTGAAGAAGAAACAGCTGAAGAAATGTCAGATATTCACACCTATCATCACAGGGCACCATCCACCATCTTTACATGACATGACAGGAGAATGTCAACGTTCTCACTGCACTGAGTAGAGCCTCGTTAGGCATTTTAAGCAAACAAAGAGCTTGAGGCTTAGAACCGACCAGTCAACAGAAGATTGGTTCGGAGACTGAGGTTCTGTCTTTGTAAAAGAGTTTCTTTTTGCGTAATCATCTCATTGGCTTATCAACTCCTGTCCTGTTCCAGGCGTTCAGATAGTGGAAAGTGCCACTCTCCACTATCTAAAAGCCTGGAACAGGCTCTGATCAACTCTTGTTTTCTTCTACCATTTGCACAGATTCTGGCAGAGACTCGCCTCAGTATTGACGACTCACCATTCTTCGCTCACGAACAAGACACCGTGGGAACATTTCCAGCACCTCCTGATCCCACTGGTAAGGTTTATTGTCCCCTCCCCCCGCAAGTTCCAAGTTCTCTGCCTTCCCAGTTACAGCTGTAACAAATTTATTGGCGATTAAAGCCCTGATCACTAACTATATACATAAGTTCGTTGCGGTCAGACGTCAGTTTTCTTTTGTGAGATTTCGTACATTTTAAATAATTGCGGTGTAGACGTGCGACAAGTTTCCGTCGTCACATCTCGTCCGTAATTTCGGTGAAAGAAATCGGACGTCAAGGACTATGTTTATTCATTAGTCTGTTTATAGACAAAAAGGGTATTCTACGTATTACTACCCGGCATGAGTATTTTACGGACCAGGCCTTGCTGCCACATACAGAAACGAAAAGTATGTTAATAGTTAGGACAGTCACTGAGGAAGTTTAAAAGGAAAAGATCCTCTTTCTCCTGTTCCGATGTAGACATTTTCCGGTGTTACCTAAAGTGAACGTTGTTTGCATTTTTATTATTTAAACATACGTAGTAAAACGAGGAGGCATAACATTAATTAACAATTAATGAATGAGGCTGAGTATCTTATGAAGAATTATGGAGATCGAGGAGGGTGTTATCCGGATAACACCCTCCGAGATCTCCATAATTGTTCATATTTTACGAAAGCTGAATTTTTATCATTCATTCAAAATAATTCCTAGTTTTTAAAAAAACATAGCTAAAACATGCTTACCTCCTCCGATGTTAAGTTCATCTTCGAAATAGTAAACAAAGAAAAATAGCAGATGTTACCCTTCGAGTTGTCTTCTTGCTGTTCTTGCCATGTTATTATTTCGCCTAGTTCTTACTCTTGAAACGAGTGAAATGTTCGCCATTTTTGTTTTCAGAACCAAAACAACTCAACCTCGTCCCCAGGTCTTCTCGGTTAACGGTGCATTAACTTGCAAGAAAGCTGCACTTTTAACGTCATCGGTTCATTAAACACAAAATTCTTCCCAATTTGGTCATCAGTAGCTGGTTATGGTGAATTATACGTGTGCTTTTAGCCAATGAGAATCGGGGAAATATTTTGAATGAATAATAAGAAAAGATATATGTTCCAGAAGTCTGTCAGTCTGAAATCGATGGTTTCCTTTATATACCATCATATGACATGGGATCCTTATTTCTTCTTTTAGCTGATCCAATGTTAGCAGGGCCGTCCATTCCTACTCGTTGGATGCTAATTTCTACCTTTTTTTCTCAACAGCTGATCCGATGTTTGCAGAATTGGAATGTTTGTCCATTGATGAGATAATAGGGCCGGACAAAAGCGATGGACCAAATTCACATTGCTGTTCTTGTTTATTAGTTTGAAACAGTGTTAAGGATTATTGACAACGACTTTCTGAAGCAGTCGTTTACTCCATGACAAAGCTGTTGATAGGAATGTTATTGAGCATTGCTAGCCCCAAGAGTGTCAGAGCTCAAGGTCGTACCTTTACTTTCGTGATCGGAAGGTTTTGAGGACTTTTGAGGACCGAAGCGGGTGAGCTATGTTCAGGCAGAACGTTTCATTTAAATCCATACATTATGCAGAATGCGAATTTCTTTGTTCCGTGAACATCGAAGGTCAGTTCGTTTAAAAACTTGTGAGATTGGGCAGCAGGCGTAGTTACAGAACCTTTTTATCAACTTCCGAATGTTTGGACAATCAACCAATCAAAATCACTTCTCGGTTTTCGGGTAGTGACGTCACTGGACGGCATTGCGGCTCGTTGATTCAGACGTCTTTCTCAGGAGTTTGCAACTTTAGGAGAAGACTGAAATTCAGGCTAACAGTAGTTATCATGGTATCATTGTATATTGTAGTAGCTTTTTAGTTCTTAGAAAGCCCTGAACACAAAATTAAATTCTTTCGGTTGTCTTCTTGTATATGTAGGCGGCGAAGAATCTACGAGGAAGGGAAAGACAAAAAAAAAGCATAAAGAGGGTCGGGTGACAGAAGGTAGGCTGAAATTCAGTCATAAGCTTCATGTAAATAGCGTATGCCACGATTCCACAACTAAGGGCCCTTCGAAAGTAACGATTAGTTTTTCAGAAAAAAATATTTTTCAGCACCAACAATTTGTTAAAAGTTTAGCAGAGCTTTCGGAACCCATCCGGATTCCTTCATTAGTAATGACGTTTGCTGTTATTCGCAGCCTCGGTTTGATGAGGCTGCAAAATTGTTCCATTATTGATTATTTTCTTTCTTTCACTGAAACCTCGAATGTAATGGTCCCACGAGAGTAGCGATTCAGTCTTCCGAAAATCGTGCGCCTTTCAAAAAAACCCTCCGTCAAAAACAGAGGAAGGCAATGTGTCTTATATAGAGGATCTTACTAAGATACACCGTTTCCGTGCACAGGTACGGCGGGAAAATGACCCGGAGAAAGGGCAAAGCCACTGGGTAGAACACTGACGTCATCTTGGAAATATGGGCCTCCTTTTTTATAATTACGTGGCAAACATGTTGGCTTATCCGAGCCTGTTTTTAGTCCCAAAAACCCTTTACTTACTGCTGTAGAACTATGTAAGCAGTGAATATGTTATATTTAGTTAAAACTTCAAATCGTAATGCCTACTTTCGCAGTTTATTTTCACAAATATAAATACATTCTCTTGACAACTAGAACCCTCTAAAAACACGTTTCTAGTGCCATTCTACGAATAAATTGCCCTCAGCTGGATCAAACTACAAAGAAACTCGGGAATGAAAATACTTTATTCATAAATATTTTAAAAAAAACGTAAGACGCCAAACGCGTTTTGCCTTTCCTGGTTTACCTTGAAATCATCTCTTCGTGTAAACGATTGCTAGACTACAAATAACCCGAACGCTTTTAAAATATCCGAAAGTAGCCCCTACCCGAAAGGAACGACCTCTTTGATCTGCTCAACCTCTCTCGTTACTTTCCAAGTTGTACGATAACAGCTTATTTTGTTCCATGAAATTCGATATCAACGTGATCAAGCAGCTAAAACAGATTTGTTTAAAGACCTCTGAGAAAGGCAGATATAAGTGGCTGTAGCACAGTCCTGAGAGCCTCTGATGGAGTGGAAGTCTGTGTCTTTATCATAGTAGCCTCTTACGAGCAAGTCTCAAAACGTTATGTACATTAAATGAAAACTTTTCGGTTGTTCTCTTGTACATTTAGGTGACGAAGAATCTCCACGTAAAAAAAAGAAAAGAAAGCAGCATAAAGCGCATCGGGTGACTGAAGGTAGGCTAAAAGTCAGCGTCATGTAAATCAATTGTTCATACTGAACAACCTACAAAATACTTCACAACAATAAAAACAGAACGTAACCTTACTTTGTTCCGTGAAACTCGGTATCAAAGTAAACATACGGTATTTTGTTTTAATCTGAAATTTAATTTGATTGATTGAGCATCTGTGCCTGGTTTTATAACATCTGTTTGTAACAGGTCTTAGGAAGTGATGAACTAAATCCTGAAATTAAATGTTTCGTTTGTTTATTTTTCATATCAAGGTGACGAAGAACCTCGTCGAAAGAGAAGCAAAAGAGAATAGGATAAAGGACAGTGGATGACTGAAGCAGAAGGTTCGCTGAATGTCATAATCAGTCATCGTATTTACTCGAAAAAGCGCCGCGCTGCTTATAAAAATTTCCACGCTTCAAATGCGGCGCTTATTCGATGGCGGCGTTTCTTTGAAAGTTAGACTCGACAAAGCGTTATTTTAACTATGGTATCATTATTTTCCGTATTAATTTATTACAGAATTAACATCTTTTGATTTGATTGTATCAGGGCCGCGGCGCTTATTGCCAAAATGCGGCGCTTATTTGAGGAAAGACGGTATTTAAATTCAATCGATTTAATAGCATGTACCAGTACAACTGGATTTATATTACCCCCAGCAACAGTTGTTTAGTGAAAGAGTAGAAAAAAAAATTACTCGCGGGTAATCGGCTGCTATAGCCACATGCACTCACTCACGTTTCCTTTTTTCCTGCTTCTGTCACCAGTATAAGAAATTTATAGAGTTAATTTGGCGATTAACGCCCTGGTTGTTTGAGTACCAATGAGACACTAGCGAGCCCCAGTTAACAGTTTCTGCGTTACAACCATTTTCATTTTATGTAGTAAACCTAACCGACCGTTATAAATAAACAAACTACAAACTGTATATTATTAAAAAAAAAAAAAAAAAGTCAGGATCGAGGTCTTAGATGAAAGGTTCCTTGCGATGCACCTTGGTATGTTGTGTAAGATTTTCCAAGGAGGCATTTTCCCGTGTTAACTTCAGCGGTCAATGAATGGACTTTTTATGACATATTGCATGAGTACTTCAAATAATTGCAAAACTAAACCGCATCGTATTGAGGGAGCAGTATACTTAAAGGTCATGAGTATGTAATTGGTGTTTCGCGCTGCACTATAATGTCACTTGCGGTGATCCTAATTTGTAGCTTTATTTCTCTGCAGATGGTCCGGTTTTAGCGGGAGCTCCTATAATTCCTATAGAGTGCATTGATCCAGCCACGGTCTGGCACCCTTCGATGGAAACCTCCCTCTTAATTCATGGTTTGCGGGGATCGTCACTGTTTGGCCGGGGAATTGTAACAGTGGTTCTGTTACGTTCTTAGTCTGACCACACCCTCCAGTTATCCCAGGGGTATTTTTTCCTGTCTGGAGCGCTGGGCCCGGAACTGCCACTACGTGGATTGTAATCGGAAAGTACAATTCCTAGCGGGACGCATCTCTCTCTGGAATCGCCATTGCCTGGGATGAAGAATAGAAGTCCAGTTGTCTTTAAACTCGTACAAAATGTCAACAATCCCTTCGTTGAACAATCCTTGAATCTGACGCAAGTCTATAAGCGACTAAACTACGGCGCACATAAACGTTTCAATAATTTCAAATTTTTGTTAACAGCGTATTACAATAGTACAATCTGGTCACTACTGTAAATAACATTTCATTATTTTTGACACCAAGAAGTTTAAGTAATTGGCATCGAACACGTACTAAATGTAGACAGTCTTTCGAATCAATCTGAAATAAGTCCGTGGACGACAATATCTGCACATACTTGTTACGGTGTAAGATTTGTACAGATTCTAATCTTTTTGAAGTGTAATCGATTTTTGGTATATTTATTGCTGTAAATAATATTCAATTAAACTTATTGACACGAACAAAACTGTAATTCTGCTGTGTGATCTCTACTGTTATCCTCTTATTGTTTCCGCTTGTATAAAAACAGCATTATCGCATTTGGTGCTTACCGCAGCGCAAGTTATATCAATGTAGGGTCATATATTTTCATCACACACCTCCCCGCTATGCAGGGTCAATAGTAGTAAAATAAGCTACAAGTAGACACTGCAATTTCCCACGCCTGAGGAAATTTTACTATACCAAGCAACCTCCACAAAGTTTCGTTAACTTGTTCGCTACCTTGCTATCTCAGATGGTAAAGCATTGGTTACCCGCAGGGTACGAGTTTTTATCCAACCTCATCCTTCCCTGTAGTAGTAGGTGCATAAGAATTATGGCGCGCACATAAGAATGCAGGTGACGCCCGCGAGGAAGGAGAAGACGCGCGTGTACTTCCTCCCTCACACGCGTGCGGCGGGATATTTAAACGGCGAATGGAAATGTGTGGCAATCGGGGTGCTCCTGTACTCGGAATGTTTTTTTTAAATGAAGTGGAATTTTCAGAGGCTCACTATTTATTAGGCGTCTTAGACGCATGTTTTATCGTCTTGTAAGTGTGTTTAAAAATAAAACAAAGAAACAAGTAAACGTGTAATTGAGCGCGGTGCAGGCCGAAACAAGCGTGAGCCGCAAAACGACTCTCTTCATTTTCATAGCATCCCAGCTGACTGAAAATAATGTGGTTCAGTCCTCTCACTGACTAGAAACACAAACTCAGTATATAAAATGGCGGCCAGAGGCGGAATTAGACAGCAGATCAAAATACTATAGTGCACTTTTACAATTATCCTTCGTGCACTCCGATGAACAAGTGTTGAAGAATCAAGAGATAAATAATTGAAGATCACGACGCTGACAGTTTTTTTCGCGTGTACGGTAAAACCCGACAACTGACTAAAAATTTACAGTAAAGAGAATCAAAACTGACCTGAAAATGACTGTCGTTCTTGCTCCACCTCTTCTCCTGGTAAAGGAAAAACTTGCAAAAATCTTGCCCGACTGCCGCCATTTTGTGTACTCTTGAACTTGAAGTCATCATGTGGTACTCCGGGTATGTCACAACTACAAACAAAAAGAATACACCATGTTGTAAAGTCATCTTATAACTGTGCCAAACGTACAAAGGCAATAGTCAGTATGACCTAACGGATGCAAAGAGGAAATTAAACTTGCCTAGTGCGCGTCTTAATAGCTATGAAAATAAGGTTCTGAGCACAAACGACATTTCATCCATAATTAAACGTGCATTAATTAGGAAGTTTGTCAAGTTTCACATTGTAGTTGTGCAACAACAACGACAAAGAAATAAACAATAAAACGTGATGCACGTGCAAAGTTGTTCTTTTTTTTGCTAATTAGACCTTTTGATTTTTGATAAATACAGTTCTACATGCAGTTTGCTTTCTTTTGTTTCTAAACGCGATAACATGTTTGTGATCGAACTGATATTAAGCACAGATTTAGGAGATTTCTTCGCAGCGGCTTTAAGTTTATTTTTTGTTTGAGTGTATAAACGAGAACTTCGCTGTTAGCCTTGGCTAAATCTACATTTTGCTTTAGCTATTCTTGGTTTTAAACCACGTGACAAGGCTGCCATGTTGGATGACAATACAGTAGAATTTTTTCTTGAAGAATTCACATGAAAATAGAGTTAAGTTCCCAGAGGAAAGAAATGTTTTTGTTCTTTTCATCCAACATGGCCGCCTTGATGTCACGTGCAAACCAGCAATAGTAGGGTGACTGTGAGGAGGCTGGTACAGACTTTCTTAGAGTCCTTTTTTCTGGGTAATAGGTGGAGAGGAAAAACTTCCCGCGACTTCGTCAATCGACAAAAAATGTCGAACTGTTCGCAAATTTTAGGCTAACTCTGAAACCAACCTAAGTTCCAAGGAGTAGCCTTAAACTATCCAATCAGGAGACCATAACCATTACTGTCGAAACTCTCCCAATGCAGAATTTTCTACTGCAGACGTTTCTCTTGATTCCGAGGTTACAGAACTTCATACAGTCCCAACCGGTTAATTAAATGTATGGTGACATGTTTTTATAATGCACGCGCGATAATGCGGACATTTGGCTTTGACCCGTTGGTGTCCGTAATAAAGAGGTTTGATGATTGTACTCCGGCGTTTTCCGACTTTTCCCATTCGGTTCGCTTTTAGACTTTTGCAAACATATTCCAAACTTTAAAAGCTAAGGTTTGTATTCAAAAGAATTTTCTCAAGACAGCTCATGCTCAACAAGTATATATGAACTCACCCTTTTTAAAGTGGACTTAAGATAAGCCTCTGGGGAAAGTAAATAATGATTATTCTGCGTCACGGTACAATGAATCATTTCCGAGAAACTAGCCTCTGTTCAAAGAATACCTCAAAACCGGTCAAACAGGAAACGTTCCAAGTCTCCCTGCCAATGAACTTGAAGGCAAGACGGGTCGAGGAACGGTGGAACTTTCGTGTTCAGTCTTATTTGTGATTACTTTGGGTGCCTGATTTTTGAAGTTTTCTCAGTTTCTTATGAGCGCTCTGAAGACAGGGTAATTTGTGATAATGGCTTCGAGAGAAATACTACTTATTGGACTTTTTGTTATTGTTTTTACTCAAGAATTCTCTTCAACTGCAGGTCAGTAACATTATTCAGGTGGTTTATAGACAAAATGAATCTGTCATAACACTGTGGCATACAAGGCTATAAGCGTTGCACAGATGGCGTCTCCTTTTTGTGGCTACCAAAAATTCGAGAGACCTATCTAGTGAAATAACTTTGACTTTGCTTACTGACAGGAGCGTAGCTTTCACCGGACAGAAAATGATGCGGCTATACATACTCATGTAAATGTTTTAAGAAATCATCCAATAAACTATTTTTCTTTATATGCCGAAAAGCGGACTTCAGTATCTCACCCTGTCTAGCCACGAAATTACACTTGACTACGATGCGTTGTTATGAAATATAGAGAAACTTTATTCTCGCTTCTAGTCACCGAGTGTTTAGTTTAATGCTCAATCACTGGCATCTTGAATCTACGATCGCTTCTGAGGTGATCATGTATTGGAAATGCTCAGTGCTTATTATTTTAGATTTTTCTGATACAGACTGGTAACGATATTTAAATATCTTACGGGTTTGAAGACGAGTTAAACACAGTTGTTACGTTCTTGTCGTGTTGGTTTACAAGACCTAAAAAAATTTTTAATTCATGTTGAAAATACAAGGAAATTAAGTCTCTTAAACATATCGCCTGATTTTTTCTTTCATTTTTGGGCCTTCCAAAACATGCGAATTTTTGAGGAATTAACAGATCTGCAACATGGTTTGTTTTGTAGCCAATTTCTGAAGCAACAAACTCGCAATTTGTGATTTTTTAAGACGCCTCGTGTTTGAAACTAAATTAGTTATTTCTATTCTTTTATTATTCAGTTTTTGACACCATCATGCAATTTCTGATCTGATTAAGATAGGATCATAGTTTCCAATGTAATGTTGAGATTACGTATATAACCAACGAAGTTCGGGCATCTCGTTCACGGTGATGAAAGTCACTGATATTCGACTTGAATGGTCGAACACTGATCCGTGGCAATCATTTCAATCATTACTAACCTGGCTCACTACTTTAAAATAGTAAATAAAGGCGCTGCTTGCTAGTCTAATAACAATGCCCTCTGATCAGTCTCTGTTAGCAGTCGGTTTTGCGTTCTCCTCTCCTAGAAGAGTCACTAAAATTCTTTGACAATCTCTTAAATGTACCTCACTGATCGGCAAGCCATATGACATATCGCTCGTAAATTCAATAACTATTTCCTTCGTCAGTATAAGGTGCATTTACAGATTATATGCCTACAGAAGCTTCCGTCTTTGTTTCTGAAGCCTTTAGTTCAGTAGTAGATCGGTGCATTCATTATCGGCAGGTGTTTTTTCCCCTGACTCCCTCTTAATCATTACATAAGTATTTGCGACAGACTTGTACATTTTGGTTTTGGCTTTGAGCTGTCTGATCAGTTTTCTTTTGCTCATTTTTACCTTTTTACCATGGGCATCAACGCGAATCATTCTGCTGGAGGGATTGGAATATCTGTTTAAAACAGCTTACTCGTTTCTTCGAACAGTTGGACTTGAACTTTTGAAACTCAACGAAAATTCTTACCAGTATTTAAAATCTTTTGTTTCCTGAAATAAATTACGGTTTTGGCGAGTATTAAACGAGGCAACGTAACTTTGCGGTATGATTTTTATCACCACTGAAATTATTCGGCTGTATGATATTTTGTTATGTGTTTAAAGCCCTTAATGAATGATATGAAGCAAGATGCGAGCCTATATAATGCCGCTGTCAGTTAACAAACGTCATTATGGCGAGGGTTTGACAATGAGTACTTTGTAGGAGCTTCATGTTCCGGTATGTCCCAGACACTAGACGAAGGCTGCACGATCAGTGACGACTGCAGCACGATCACGTGCAAGATGAATTTTGTTGAGAAGCCAATCACATTCAAACTCAAGGTATCAATTGTCATTTTCAGTAAATACCCGCCCAATATGGTTAAGGTACGGAAAAACGAGCAACAAAAAACGCGCAACTTGTCTTGCAACATTGCTGCAAAACAAGTTGTACGCTTTTTGTTGCCCGTTTTTCCGTACTTTTAAGGATGTAACAGGTTTAAGCCTCATGTTCCGAGGGAGGTTTATTTCTTTTGTTCTACTGATTAACACCAGCTGCAGTCGCTGAACATACCGTGCGTAGACAGCGCCTCTGGAAACTAAGGCAACCGTACAAGTGGTTCAGTTCTTGTCTTCCTTGGGTTCTGAAGCCTGCATTCCATCTGTTTTCACTTCAGAGTTACGATCGGGGCAAGACAAAGCCTGCGCATTAAAGAGTATTATGATGTTTTTCGGGATTCGTCAATTTCGTATTGTCCATAACTATTTAACTTTGTTTGTCTCCGCTCAAAATTTTGCATAACTCAGTATTGTTTCCAATTTTTACTGGGTATAATTAATTACATTCTTCCCAAGAGTGATTCAAAACAACGCCTTTGTAAAATTCTAGGGGGCGCGGGCAAACAAAGTATCATACGGGCCGGGCAATTTGAAAATGGCGATTGACTTAAGTAAAGTCAAGTAAGTCAAGTTGAATGTCAATCGGGTTCAACTCCGCAATGATAACCGACAAAACCCGTGGGTTATTACTAATATTGTAAGGCCCACGTGACATGGGGAAGAGCCTAATGCTAATAGTAAGCCAAAACGATAGATTTTGCTCATTAGCATCAGGTTCGAGTTTTTCTTGGGCCTAGTAAGAACATTAAGAAAGAACAGTTAAAAGAACTTAGTTTTATGAATAGTAAATGAATCATAATTGTTGTCAAAGGTATATTTGCTGTCTCAGTTGTCAGTGACCTTTTAGGGTTAATAAGCTGCCATATAAAGGATAAAACTCATATCCAGTATAAACAAATGTACTATCATTCACTACTAAGAAAAACTGGCATTTAATCATTACCAACCAGATTAACAAATGTGATGAACCCGTCACTGTAACGGCCTCTATGAATGTCCCGGATTTGCGTGTCACGTGGTCTCACACTTACACCAGTGACGACATCATTGAAGTGCCAGGATTTACTNAAACGATAGATTTTGCTCATTAGCATCAGGTTCGAGTTTTTCTTGGGCCTAGTAAGAACATTAAGAAAGAACAGTTAAAAGAACTTAGTTTTATGAATAGTAAATGAATCATAATTGTTGTCAAAGGTATATTTGCTGTCTCAGTTGTCAGTGACCTTTTAGGGTTAATAAGCTGCCATATAAAGGATAAAACTCATATCCAGTATAAACAAATGTACTATCATTCACTACTAAGAAAAACTGGCATTTAATCATTACCAACCAGATTAACAAATGTGATGAACCCGTCACTGTAACGGCCTCTATGAATGTCCCGGATTTGCGTGTCACGTGGTCTCACACTTACACCAGTGACGACATCATTGAAGTGCCAGGATTTACTGTATCTTTGCCTTCTATTTTCTCCGCTGGAGTGTACGTTCAAGTTCAACTCAAAGACAACGGGGACAGACTGCATCTTAAGGCAAGTACTTTACGTAAAGCGACTTGCAATGTAGTGTGACCTCAATTTTAAAAAGGACATTATGTGACGTCAAACACCAAACGGACCATTGTAATGGAGGTTAAAGTGCCGGACATACTTTAAAGGAGTGAATTAAGCTACTGTATACAATTAAAAGCTTTTAAAATTTTCATATTGTTGGTGCGGTGCTTATTTAGATGCGGCGCTCTTTTGAGATTCGAATACTGTCACGTATTTCCATCTCATTTGACCACGTGCTTTCCATCAAAACAGAGGTAAAAACAATACTTCACTGCCTCCAACGGTCAAGATAGGGAAACCTTAGAAACTCGTTTAAACATGCAGCCAAAGTTGTAATTTTTTAACAACAGTGAAGAAAGTGAAGGAATATATTTAAGAATTTCAACAGCTGGATTATAAACTTTGGCCATAAACAATTTTATGATCAATAGACTGAAAATAGTCTAGAACAACCCAGCATTCAATGCTAATTCAAGTTCATTACTGACTTTTAATTTCATGTGCAACAGAATTTAAAACTAAAGTGAAAATTTGAGCGCTTAGTGACACTAACGCATGCGGCCCCCAACATCAATCGTTTAAACAAGTAAAAGCCAGAGTTCTCTGGAGAGGGAGATTCTGCCAGCGGGAAAAGGAAAATCAATAAGTTCGAAATAATTCTGTCCTTTAATAGGTGAAGCTACTGGCCGGTGGAAAAGTGTTGGGCAAAGGTGTTTATCCTGTGAAAGTTACTGTGATGGAGGGAGACTTACCGATTTCAACTAACGATTGTGGTGGGTATACTGATCATAATTAAAACTAAAAATGTGTGTAACGCATTCTAGAACTCGCCTTCGCGAGGAATAATTTTTACGCTAACAGACTGAACACAGTAATTCTGTATTAAAATTACCTTCAATTAACTCGCCCGCTCGGCAGGCGTTCGAAGGGGAAAGAGGATTTTGGGCGCGTGAGAAGTGCGAGAGGCCAACTTTCAGATGTTCAAGTGGTGGTACGACTTGTCCGGTGCTGCAAAGGCAGCAGTGATTGGTGAACCTTTTTGACCATGAACATTACGACAATATGTTGGGACAAATTTTAAACAGTTCAACCTATTTTCAATAAGACGTTACAACGTCTCACAACACTGTTGAGAGGCGGTGTCAAACAGTCATAGAATCTTTTGTCAAATATATTATACATAAACTATGAAGCTGAAAGTGGATACCATTTCTATTTGAGCAGTGTCACATCATTCCTTATGTTTCCAGTGTCCTGTCCTTGGATGAGGGTAGAAATGGACGTCGAGACTGCTCTGTAAGAAATGTTGTTTGAGGGCGGGCTTAATTTGTTTAAACATGTCTTCAAGTAGTGCTGTATCTGTGTTCTTTGTTGTAGGGATGTTCAAGTGGTGGTACGACTTGTCCGATGCTACAAAGGCAGCAGTAATTGGTGGACCTTTATTGGTTATCTGTATTCTTGTCATATACTGTTGCTGCTGCAGGTCCCGCCCAGCAAATCAAGGTGCTGTCCTCGTTACACCTGCAGTTGGCCCTACTGCTGTCATGGCAACAAGCACTAACACCACTGCTCACATGCGACAGCTTGTTAATGTTGCTTGAGTGAGTACAGTGGACAAATGTGCCCGGGCATGCGCAGTTCTTGATAAATTTTGAATTAGTCATACTTAATATTTGCGGATAGTTTCCGTAGGGAAATAGGAATTAATACTATTAACAAGCTCAGACTGCATCTGCGTATAGGCGCATGTTGCTTGTGCTTGCGTTGTGCGTGTAAACCAGCCTTAAGGTGGATTTTCACCGTCGCCTAATTAATACGCGCGTAAAAATTACGTGTGTAAATAATTTAGAGGCAATGTATGGAAGGCCGCGCTTAAACGTAAAAGTTAAACCTCGCTCAATTTTTACATTTACGCGGGGCCTTTCATACATTGCCTCTAATTTATTTACACATGTAAATTTTACGTGCGAAAGCACGTAAAAATTATGCGACAGTGGAAATTCACCGCCCTTAAACTTTAAGCCATTTTAAACACCTTAATATTTGGTTTATTCTCATTAGAAAGAACAATTTGGAACTGTCAGCTATTTGTTTTTTATGGTCGATTTTTTGTTTCGTAGTTTCTTACCGACAGGTTCATATTGCCATAACTACATTCACGTAGGGTATGAAAAGTTGGTTGGATTTTCGCATTTGACCACTGTGTTGTTTTCCATCGGTTGCCGACCACTTTTCACACTGAATAATGTGACACTGCGAACTGGGAACAATTTAAACTGTGTTTACACTATACCGGATAGTTTTTGCGCCGATGCAGGGGCGGATCCAGGATTTTCTTTAGGAGGGGGTGCACTCGTCTCTCGCTCTACTTCAACACCAATAATAGTTTTTTTTTTTGGTAGAATACCAGTTGTATGAGAAAACCGCAGGTCATCTCAGGGGGGGGGGGTGCGCACCCCCTGCACCCTCCCCCTAGATCCGCCCCTGCGATGGGCATCTGTTCACACATAATAACGGTGATTAGCTGTGATTGGTCGGCGCCATTTCTGTAACAGAGCGAAGCTGCGTTGCGCCGATCTCTAAGGTGGAGAGTAACATATCAGATACGTGTTCACACTATATGGGAAAACGTTCCGTTTCGACTCAAAAAGCTTTCTGGTACTGAGTGTGCACATGGCCTTAAATATAACATATACAGTTCCGAAAAGTCTTATGAGCCAAAACTTGATTCAAAGGCGCACGAGATCATTTGTCTTATTAATTGCTTTGCTTGTTACTTTTTCCAGCTTCCTTTGTTGTTGTTGTTGTCGTACCGTGTTTTTTATGCAGTACCCGTGTTCAGTTTGGAGTTAGACTCGAGTTAGTATAGTTCCCTGTACCGTAGCCGAATAACTTAAGTAGTTTATTAATAACTATGAGTGTTATCGATCGATCCATACATTTGAAAACAAGTTTAGGATGTAGTAAAAACTTTACAAAGTTTACTAACCATTAGCAATAGCCAGTATAACCTCAACGATGCGAAAAGAAATCAAACTTCCACACTACGGAATGGTCGTGATCGGAAACTTGAATTTTCTTTCGAGGGCAAAACAGACGCCGTATTAGGCTGACTGCGCGCACTAATAGCTACTAATGCCTAAAACAAGGTTTTAGCTAAAATTAAAAGTGGGTGACTCTGTGGAACAGTTTTACCGAAGAGCTTACGCAGAATAGGAACACTTAGGCACTTTTAAAAAGAGAGAGACTCACTGGTTTTGAAACAACGGTCAACAAGCTCCTTCGCGGAAATCTTGTAAATAAGGATTTTAAAGCTATCATTAATTAAGTCTAAATTCATATATTAGATAGTTATTGTATTTTAGTGAAGATTGTACCCTGTCAAAATAAGGTATGAGCATGAGTTGGATGAAGCAAACATTTTCAGTCGGTATTAACGGAAATTAACAGGGGTTTGAATATTTACCTCTCACTGTCCAACACTCAGTTCGCCTTAACGCTCACTGGGTTCTTTTCCATCTTGACGTAGCTTCCTTCAGGCGAAAGCTGTAATTGGAATTCTGAGGAGTTGTTAATTAATCTTGTCACAGCTGGAACACTTTTAAAACTGACTGAGTTCCAGGTGAAACAGTAGTTAGTATCGACTTTGTAAGTTTACAGAGATTCGGGGAGTGTAAATTTGAATGCAAACTTATTTCCTTGCGGCTGGCAGAGACGTGCTAAAAGTCTGTTTTTGGGTGGGTAACAGGTCAGAAGGAAAAACTTCTCACTACTTCGTCCCTCAGAAAGTCGACCTGCGGCAAATCTTGGGCTGGCAATGAAACTAACCTTGGATTCTAAGGTGCACCATTCAGGATCCCATAAACCGTCGAAACTCTCCTCATGCACACCTTATCTATTGCAGGTTTTGAGGTAACAAAGTCCTCATTCTGTCCCAACCGGTACATTAAACGCATAGCGCGCGACACCTTTTTAAAGCGGACATTTGGCTCCGTCCCTTTAGTGTCCTTATTAAAGATGTTTGATTGTACTCGTTTTGCGACTACGCCTTTTAGGTTTAGGCTTTCAGATTTTCACCAACATATTCCAGACTACAAAGGGGACCAAGGTCTGTAATCAAACGACAATTCTCACTACATCTCGCGGCCTTCCTGGGCGAGTGTCGAATCTACTTAGACGTGGGAGACGGTTTGGAAGAAGGCTCCCTCCCCCGACCCCTTTAAGGTAGACATTTCCTCAAAGAGTTTTTAGACTAACCTGTTACAGGTTTCGGTTTAAAAAATCCGACCACAGATTAGTAAGGATTCAGAAACTAGATATGAGGAAAGCACGAGAAAGGTCACGTGACAGCTTAAAAATAACTTCATTTAGAGAGGTTGACACTTGACAGCTTCACGAACCGATAACTGAACCTCTCCCTCCACGGGTCCCCAACTGATCTGGAGACACTTTCCAGATCGAAATGTAAATTATCTGAAATGATGGTATTTGGATGAAACCGAAGTACCTGAAGAAAACCTCTCACAGCTGAGCAGAGAAGGGAACCTTACAACAAACTCATCCCGCATAACAGAGAGCTTATGCAATTACAACCGAGCAAAACAAGAATTCTGCACGTGCAGTAAAGTTTTTGGTACATTTCTTCCCCGCCATGAGACAACTACGAGGTGAAATTTCACTTTTTATGCCGGAAAGAAATCAACACAAGTCGACGACTTGTTTTTCCTTTTTCTGAACTGACTTGAATACGGACAATCCTTTTTGAGGCATGAAACAGTGAATGGTGGTGATCGGAAACGGGAATTTCTATCCGTGGCAAAACAGACTCTTTATTTCCATTCATATTGAATAGCTGTCAACTATAGTCGAGTCCGTTAGATATCGCGTGACCTTAATTACCGAAGCACCTCGTTCCCAGACGTTAACGTCATTCCCAAAAATTATCGCATAACGCAGCTGTGCCACGAGGCAATGTGCACTTCACATCTTCGCATCCTCTGACACGGACGCTCCACTTCTGGTTCCCGAACACAGGTTTGTTTAATACATGATTTCTTTATTTGGATTTTAAGGCATTCTGTATTAATAACTATATGCCGAGGTGTGCTGCTTTTGTAAAGAACGTCAATGTTGTATAAGTATGTTAAGCTTGGCTGACTTGCTTGCATTATCAGATCGTTTATGTTCACTGCTTCGTGGCAGTGATTTCAAACTCTGATAAACTGAGACTATCATTTTCGTCTGTCCCTGAAGCGCAGGTATGCAAGAGCCTCAATGCCTCCATTGTTTGGCGTTTTTAACTCTCTATAGAAAGGTCTAGAAAGTCGCGAGGACAGGAATCGGCAGCCTTTATCTTTCTCCATTTTCACAGTTTTTGGGTTTAGTAATATCCAGTTTCCACTAACGACGTATTTTAGGCTTTAAATGTACACATTAATTATAAAGACTTGATAACGGTGAAACATTTCGCTCATAGAAAAACATAACAATGGGCCTTTTAAGGTGCAATCATATGAACGCTATTTATGGTAAGTTTCGAAAATTATGTCATATTTGTCATATCGCTTCATGATCAGTCCAATGGTCGCCGGTTACCGTCTGCAGTGTAGGCAGTGAAGTTCACCGAGAAAAATGAATTAGCTAAGATAACATGACATAGAACTGCTGTGTTTCTGACTCTTTTTCGCTAAAATTGCTCGACTTCTGGAAAATAATTCACAAGATTCGCGTGAATTATCCCATTATCTTTGAGACGCGACGGATGTAGGATCCACCCACCCACTGCTCACGCGATATTTCTCTTCTGCCTGATCCATCACTTGTTCTCTCATACTTTTAGCGTCTTCACTGAAAATTTCACTTTGCTTCAAGTTGGAAAATGTCTACGCGAAAATTGAGCAGTAAAATTACCATGAGCTCGGGATCATTTTTCATCTGCCAACTCAACGCAATTCTATTTGCCCACAACTTTCAGTCATGATCAATACAAAGGCTGAATTGAAAAACAGGAAGTACGTATCGTGTAACGCAAAGCGAGCACTGTAAAAAGTAGTATTTCGCACTAGTTTATAGTTCATAGACTTTCTGTAAGGCTCGCGGCTGGTTTTCTCAGTAATAGTACTTCATATAAAGGTTTGTTATCGATTTTTTATCTTCTTAGCGTTTAAGGCATTTCAAAAAAACTGAAGATCAACTTTTGTGCGTAGTATGCTGCACTCAACAGTGAATTATCTCAGGAGTAGCTCAGTAGACAGCCGCACCCAACTACTTATAAATCTCAGTCAATTTCGATTTCATCCAAAGCGATCGTTCACATGAGTATTTTCTCTTCGATTTTTGGTTTCTTCTTTACGATTTTATAATTTACCTCAAGTGAAACTGAGAAATTTGCTAACAAGTCGGACTCCCCATCAAGGAAGTCGTGAAGGTATTGGCGATGGCGTCATGTCTTGACCTTGAATAATTAGATCTCTGTTTCTTCTTCTGAACACACAGCACCAACATTGTGTTTAGATGTGTATTCATTAAGTAATAACATGTACTCTAAATGGATGTACTCTAAATTGGTTATTGCTCATGAGTTAAATCGTGTGACTCTGAG